CCGCCGCCGCGTCATGGCGCCGCCGCCGCCCCGTCGCAGCGCCGCCGCCGCTCAATACCGCAGGTCCAGCACGTGCGCCACCTTGGCATTGGTGCTGACCGCCAGCCGCGCGCCGGTCTTGTCCCAGCACACCTCGAACACGCCGCCCGCCGCCTCAAACTCACGGACCAGCCCGCCGTCGGGCACGCTCCATATCCGCACCTTGCCGTCAATCGAGCCCGTCGCGAGCAGCTTCCCGGCAGGCGCCCATGAAACCGAGTAGACCGAGTGGTCTCCCGCCTTGCCGCGGTCCGGGTCCGAGTAGTGCTGCAGCGTGTGCTGGCACGCGCCCGTCGCCGCGTCCCAGACCTTGGCGGTGCCGTCGAATGACGCCGTCGCGAGCAGCAGCGGCAGCCCGGGGTTGGCGCTCTGCGGGCCTGTCGGGCTCCACTTGAGCGTGTAGACCTCCTTGACGTGCGCTGTGAGGCTGTGGATCGGCGCGTCGCGGTTGGCCTGCCACACCTTGGCGGTAGCGTCGTCGCTGCAGGAGGCCAGCAGCTTACCGGCGGGGTCCCACCGCACGGCGTTGACCTGGGACAGGCGCGGGCGAGGGGGCGGGTCGCGATGCGCGAGCGGGGGGACGGTGGGCTGCATGGAAGCCACGGGGCTGCACCGGCAGCAGCGGCAGCTGAAGATCAGGCAGGCGGCCGCAGGCGGCGCTGCGGCGCGCTGCCACGGGCCGCACGGCGAGCGGCATGACCGAGTCGGGGAACGGGTTTTCGTGCGCGGAACACGCACCTCATTGGTGTGGCCCGTCCAAGTCTTGATGGGCCTCTCGCTGCCCAGCTTGCAGAGGTGGATGTTGTTGTCGGAGGAGCAGGTCGCAAACTGGCTGGCGTTGCGCCAGTCGGCGTCCAGCACGGCCGCTGCGGGCAGGAGGGCGCGGCGCAGCGGCGTGGAGGCAGGTCGGCGGGTCAGCAACGAGTACGGCGGCCAAGCGTCCCCCACCAGGAGCTTTCAAACTACCAGACATGGTGAAATAAAGAAGGAAGAAACATGAAAAGGCTTGGGCTTGCTTCTGCAACAATCAGGGTATAGTATCAGAGAATACGCACACCCCCTTGCACGGCTCTGTTGCGCACACACGCACTCCTGACACAATGAACCAGCCAAACGCATGCGCGCGTGGGCATCCCTGCTCTTGACCGCAGGCCCCGCCCTGCGCGGCCGCGGCGCCGCCTCACCCCCGTGGAAGGAGAACTGCTGCCGCACGCTGCTGGTGGCCACGTCCCACACGACGGTGCTCTCGTCCGCGCTGCTGGTCAGCAGGAGGTCGCCGCGCTTGTTCCAGCGCAGCGCAAACACCGGGCCCGTGTGCCGCTCCAGCGTCGCCTTGAGCTTGCCTGGCGGGCCGCGGTGCAAGTGGAGGGGTGGGGGCGGGGCCGCGCCAGGCACATGCGTGCTGATCAGCAGGCACAAGGATATATACTCTTGATCCGCTTGGGTGCAAGGGAGTCGGACTGCATGCTGCAGTGGGCTGGCCAAGCTATCTGCCCAGATGTTCATGGCGGCTGTCGACGAGCCGACCACCACCATGGGCCCTGCGCCGGCTGGGCCGGCCGCAGTGGCCGCATCTCACCCTGCCCCTGGGCCAACGCGCTCACCCTCCTTGGTCCACACGCGCGCCTTGCCGTCGTATGCGCCCGTGGCCAGCAGGACGCCGTCGGGGTCCCACTCAAGCGTGGTCACGTCCTTCCCCTTGGACGAGTCATCGCCAGGCGGGTGGTCCAGAACGCGCGCTATGCCGCAGCTGGGGCCGGGCGTGAGGTCCCAGATGCGCGCCGTGGCGTCGCCGCTCCTTTGAATGCAGGCGGGGTTAAGCAGGGCGCAAGTTGGGGTGTTGCTCTGGCCCACAGTCAGTTGCTGCAGCAGCTTCTGCAGTGATGCCCCCACAAAGCGAATCCCACCACCGCTGATGCTCCGACCAAACAAAACGCTAGTTGCAGGCCTGTTGAATCAACTGTAGGGCACATGGGCGCCGAGTCTGAACGTACCCCGAGGCCACCAGGTCGTGAGTGGGGCTGAACGCGCAGGTGAACACCTCCCCGTCGTGACCCTTCAGCGTGGTGACGTTTGTGATGTCCACGTTTGACACCAGGCCGTCCTCCTCCATGGGCGCTGGCCCATTGCCATGCGCGCCGCCGCTGCCGCTGCCCGCGCCCTTGCTGCTGGGCCCCGCGCCGCTGGCCTCCTCCTTGTCCGCAGCTTTGTCCCGCTCCTTGGGCCCCTTATCCCGGTCCCGGTGCTGCTGGTTCTGCTGCTGCTGCTGCTGCCGCTCCTCCTTGACGCCAATGCCACCCCCGCCTCCGCTGCCACCGCCGCCGCCGCCGCCGCCTCGGTCACGCTTCCGCTCGCGACCCCGCGCCGCTGCGTGCTGCCGCTCTGCAGCCCGCTCGCGGCGCTCCTGCACCATCTGCCGCAGGTCGTCAATGTCCTTAGTCATCAGATCACGCGGCGACAGCATGGTGAAGTCGCCCTCAATAACGCCGTCCTGGAGGCACAGCCAGTCGGTAGGTGGACATTGGACGCAAAGGTCCGCGGGGCCGGGTAAGATGCAGCCATCGAACGGCAAGGACAGGGTCATCAGTCAGGCGGACCGCCTGCACGGGCAGCTCCAGAGCAGAATGCAAAGATGCGGCAAGACTACCATGCTGCTGCGGCTGCTGCGGCTGCTGCTGCTGCTGCTGCTGCTGCTGCTGCTGCCGCTGCTGGGCCTGTGCCTGCTGTGGCTGCTGCTGCTGCCGCTGCCGCCGCCGCTGCTGCCACTACTGCTGCCGCATGCGCGGCACTCCGTGGTGCCGCTGCGGTGCGCTGCTGCCAGGGATTGCGTGGCGGATATGGTCGACCCACCTCTATGTTGGCCTCCATCTCCATGTACTGCATGCCTTTCTGGACAAAGGCCACAAGCGCGCCTGCTGGCACGAGGTTGGGGTCGATGCTGGTCCGATGCACCTGGCTCTCATGCGCGAACGTGAAAGACGCATGGTGGAAGCCTGGGCGAGGGCGTGGTGAGAGAAGGAATGGCCTTTGTCAACGCCACCGCAACCACAAGCAGGATGTGCTGTGCCCAGGCGATGGTCAGCGCGAAGGCGGTGGTGACAAGTGCAACCGCCACTGCACGGCACTCTGTTGCCTACGCCGCTGGCCGGCACGTCCGATCATGACCGCAACAGGCCGTCCAGCGCCCCATGGTGGCCGCTGGGTCCAAGGCACATGCAAAACTCCGCATGATGCACACACCAGACTCCTGCATGTAGCGGTACACCAGGTAATTGACATCGTCGCTGGTGAGCGTCAGCGCGCCGTTTTTGGCGGCCATCCCGGCCGCACCACGGGCCGGCTGCCCAGACGCGCCCTGCGGCTAGGACCCCGGGTGTCCTGGCATCCCCCTAAACCCACGGCCGTGGGCCAGCGGACTGATGGGACCCAGATCACGCTGCTCTTCTGCCGTGCCTGAACCTTAAAACCTTCCAGTAAGGCTCTCTAGACGTGCTGAAGACGTTCGGATCGCCCTGAAAAGACACGCAGGGGTGGTTTCCCACAACAACGAAGGCAGGTGACGCGTGTAGGCACAAGGGTGGTCTCAGGAGGTTGTGTAGATGGCGGAGGGCGTCAAGCTAGGCATCTGGCGGTGTGCAGTGGCTGACAAGGTGCAGGAACCCGTTGAGAAGCTGGGAATGCTTTGGCTGGCCCGTAGCTGCTTTCTAACCATATCACGTGGACTTTACACCGTCATATTCCATTCACCATCCACATTGCCCCGCTCATTCCCTGTTGGACATCCGAGATCACTCAGTGCCGGCCGCAGCAGCGGAGCTCAGCAGCAGCGGCCGCCATGAGCAATCCATTAGACGACATTGGCGTTCGGTTTGTGGCTGGTGCTGCTGTGGCATTCGTTACAGCTAGCGCAATCATCTTGCCGGGGGGCCGGCAGAAAGACGCCGCAGCACTCGAGCTCTTTGACAAAAAGTTCAAGGAGCTGGCGCCGCAGGACCGCCGTGTTGCAGAGTTTGCGGCAGGGCACAAACGGTGGACTGGATTCTTCAACAACAGCGTTTACCCCCTCACGCGGCGGCTGCCAGGCGCCAAGAACCCGATTGTCAACCCGTGCGTTTTGTGCTGCAAGGGCGAGAGTGGTTGCTCAAATGGCAGAACAGCACGCACGGCATCGATGAGGGGGCCCGCCTCCCTGCTACTAGCTGCGTAGATGAATGAGTAGGCCTGTCCTGCACGGCGAAGCAGAACTGCTGGGGCGTCCCCGCCTGCACTCGGTAGCGCTTCAGCGGCGAGGATTAGCCAGCCGTTGCAGCTGGCCTCCTGCGCAACACCTGGGGCCCTGGTCCGATGACATCATCATCACAATTTCCATCTTTCTGCCCCCTGCTGTCTGTCTGCAGGTACCGTGATGCAGCTCCCTTGGGCGGCGGGGGCGGCGACGACGATGAGTAGGCTGCAGCTGCTGGCTTTCTCATGTGATGGTGGCGTACATTTCTGCATGGCACACCTTCTCTCTGTCTTGATGTCGTTGAAATGATTATGATAACTGGTGTGCTTGATTTGGTAGTAGCTAGGTTCAAAGACAAGGCCCTGTTCCTTGGCATGGCGATTTATTTGGCGCATGTGCAGTAATAACTGTCTGACGCCATGTGGTGAGTTACATGACGCCCACAAGGAAAACAAAACGAAACTGGGGTCATGCGCGCAACAGTAACAGACCAGAGCCGCCCACAGCGCGCATTTGCACTGGAGGCGCTGCGTGCAAGAAGGTGGCGGTCTGAAAATGCTGGAAGGGTAGTCGGATGCGGTGGTCGGTCATCTGTGTGCAATAATCGTGTTTGCATACAGGCAAACATTTGACGTGGCGTATTTATGAAATTTTCAGGGGCAATTCAGCCCCCCTCACAACCGTGTCATCCCTTTAGAACATTCCACATCCAATCATCGCGAACCGCGCAGCACTTCTTTGCTGGATTGAAGGAAGCCGCCTGCAGCAGCAATGACAAAAGCAAGCAAATGCTGGGGCACCCAGGAAACGGGGAACAGGTCGGGCGCGTGTGAAGAGCCGCGCGCCAAGCCAGTCATTCCTGCGTGGGCTGTTGCGCGCGTGCTGCTGAGGGGGGGACGGGTGCCAGACGAGTGCGAGGGAGGCCAGGGCCTGCGAAAGTGGCGATGCAGGGGGCAGGAGCGGGTGCCTGGCGACATGTCGATGCAGTGGGCGGCAAGAGGCCGCCGCAAAGCCAAGGTCTGCCACACGGCTGCCCACCCATCCACAGGGGGCAGCGGGCCAAGGGGCGTCCTCAACACATGCCTCGGCCAAAACGCAACAAGGAGGGATGCGCTTGCGCGCAAATGGAGCCAGACACACCCGCAATCGCGGGGGCAACGTGGGCCGGGGCAGGCCCGGCCACACGCGCATGCAAGCGCCCGCCACAGCTGCGAGCGCAGCTGCGTCCTGCTCCCATGGGGGGCCTACATCCGCAGCTTGAGCACGACGGCAGAGATGTTGTCCATGCTGCCGCGGGAGTAGGCCTCCTCCACCACGCGCCGCACCGCGCGCTGCGCATCAGGGATGCCCTGCACCAGCGTCACGACGTCCTGCGGGCGGCCGCGCCAGGCGGGAAAAGCGGAGGCGCGGGGTCTGGGCAACAGCACAGGGGCGTCTGGGCAACGGCGCAGCCGCTGCTAGCTCAATCTGCATGTGAATGCCCGGCGCCCTGTTTTCTCCTGACCGGCCTCCACGCCCGGGTGCTCACACAGCCGAGGCGCCTGCAGGCTGCTCAATCATGGTCCCAGCGTCCCGGCAGGCTCCCTGCGGGGCCCCACCTGATTCGACAGCACGTCCCAGACGCCGTCCGACGCGAGGATCACGCTGTCGTCCCGAGAGGAGAGCGCCTCCTCGCGCACGTCCGGCGTCGGGATCACGTAGCGCTTGAGCGGCCGGTCGCCAAACGCGCGGCTGACGGCGAGCACGCCGCTGACGCGCCACGTGCCGGCCCACACGACCACGCCGCCGGCGTCCTCGATGCGCAGGCGCTCCTCCCGCAGGTTGGGCTTGTGGTCGACGCTCAGGGGCACGGCTGTCCGCGAAAGGTGACGAAAATTCGCCAGGGTTGGGCAACGCAGCAAACAAGGGGGTGCACTGTGAGGGGACAACTGTGCAGGACACCCTGCCATGGCAGACGTGCCCAAAGCCACGCATCAAGAGATGCGCGCGAGCCTCTTTGACGGCGGCCACTCCCGCGCGCCGCACCTTTGCCGCCTCGCGCCAGCACCGCCCTCGAGTCCCCAACGTTGGCCACGAGTAGCCGCTCGCCCAGCAGCACAGCCGTGACGGCGGTGCACCTGGCACGTGGGGGCAGCGGGTGTGTGTCCATCTGATAAGCCCTGCTCGCATTCCAGCCAAACACCCGCAGTATGTTGAGTTCATATGACCATGGCGTTCACATGACCAGCGCGCCTGCCGCGACACAGTTGCAAGCAGCTCGTGCAGCATGCACCATGATTGCTGGGCCAAGTCGAGTGGGGCACAGCCGCGCACCCGTCATCTCTAGTGGCTGTGGCGTGCTGTTTGAGGTATTCCGAGTCGGTCTGCTCAAAGGCCTCAGCTGTGGCGGTACAGTGCGGCGGGGGCACAGCCACGGGGGCCGATTAGAGAGCAGGGGCGCGAGCGCGCATCTTTGCGGGGCGGTGCGGGGCAAAACGTGCGCGGCCGCCCAGCAGCCAGCAGCGGCAGCCCACAGACTGCGCCCGCGCCCTTCATCGTGCAGGCGGAAAGTCTGCTCTGCGACGCAGGGCTGGGGGCTCACTTATGGCGGTGCGGGCGTCGGTCGCGAAGTTTTCATTGCGCAGGAGGTTGTTGAAAAGGTGGCCATGCACGTAGTCGGCGGCGTTTGTGCCACCGTGGCCGTCAAATACGCCAAACAGCCCCACTTGCTCCCCCGCCGGCGCCCCCGGGATCTGGCTCCACTGCGCACGGTTTGGTTTCGGGGCCCAGCGGGAGTGAGATGAGGTGGGCCCGCGCGGCAGCAGCAGCTTTGGGCCCGACCAGCTGCTGGGCTCGCGGCCAGGAGGGTCGCCGTGACGTGGGCGGTGTGACACACAGGCATTAAGGCCCTGCACGTTCTGTGTGCCCTGTGACGCGCGATCGCGGCCGACCTGAGTGAATGCATAGTCCTCTTGCTGCGGGCGCTTGCCCCTCAAGAGCGCAAAGCCGCAGCTCACTTTGCCGTCAGCCCTGCACGAGCATGGGGTTGCCGTATTGCATCGTACTACCGTTTCATGCGAGCGGGCGGCGGGCGGTCAACGCCTTCCAGCGCAGAAGGCCGCGCCACGCGCGCATGGCCGCTGCGCGGCGCGGCCCCATCACCACCCGCCCGCACCCAGCGCGCACCGCGTGTCACCGCCGCTGACTATGGCGTCGGATACATGGCTGGTCGTGCGCGTCAGAGTTCCGTTGCTGAACATGATGGCCTCTCTAGCATGCTGCTGCCCACATGCCCGGTAAAATGCCTGGGGTGCCAAAGGCGCGACCCCGCGCAGCTGCAGGGATATGACTGGCGTCAAGAGGTTGATTTCAGGCGTGTATAAGCTCGGATGGCCGGTGCAAGCAGATCAAATGTCGGTGCCGAAGGCACGAGACACGACAGTGGTGGTTGCGAGCTGCTTTCGGTTGGATGTGGTCTATAAGTGGACGGACGCGGGTCCAAATACACTTTCGACGACCGCGGCGACCTGGCAGCGACGGTCCACCGTTTGCACTCTCGCGTCTTGCTCATCCGCGTTGTCCTGGCGTTGAAGACCCAGATACGTTCTACTTGGACGAGACTGAATAAGCCTTTCCTTCTCCTCAAGTGAAGCTTCCTCCCAGATCAGACGCACAACCCCTGTGAGACCCCAGGTCTATACCCGTCCCCCGGTGGCCGCTAGCTTGCTTTACTGCCCTTGAGAGCCGCGTACAGCGGCGATCGAGCGGTGCGATGGTCCTGCAGACAGGCTTCTGGCTGCTGGCGCCGTTCACCATTGCAGCGCTCAGCTTCGCCATCAATGTGGGCTCCGCGGACCGCTTCATCGACTGGCCCTATCTCTGGCTGCTGTTCCGGAATATATCCCCATTCTTCTATGCTGTGGTCGGCGTTGCGCTATGCGTGGGGACCTCCATTCTTGGGGCGGCATGGTGAGCAGCGGCACAAGCAGCCCCCCGCCCCCAGGCACCACTAACACGGGCATGCACACAAGGCTTGCGGCAGGCACACTCACGCATGCACGGGCCATCTGGAGAGGGGTGCAGTAACGCACTACGAACTTGCCCCCAGCACTGAAATGTTTAGCAGACCGGAAAGAACAACAGTTCATCGCGCGCTTGTTGTGTGCTGGGCACGTCACGCCTGCAAATCCAGACCGCTGCCTTGCCGGCGCCTGCGCAGGGGCATCTTCATCACCGGCAGCAGCTTGGTGGGGGCAGCTGTCCGCGTACCACGCATCACGTCCAAAAACTTGATCAGGTGGGCCATTCTGCAGCGGTCTTGCGCGCCCGGCCCAACCCAACCAGCTGCTGCAGGAGCGCGATGCTCGGGTTGCGCTTGCGGCCACCTCCTGCACCCAGGCCCAGCCCCTGCCAAACTCTGCTTGCGGCCACCTTTCACATTGTGTATGCCGCATGCCGGCAAGCCTGCCTCGCTATCACAAGCACGCGAACGCGTGCGGTTTCACTCACACCTACGAACGCGTGCGCCACATCTTGCACGGCCCCACCTGTCCAGCATTATCTTCTGTGAGGCTGTGGCCATCTATGGCGTCATCGTGGCCATCATCCTGCAGACCAAGCTGGAGGCCGTGACCATCGAGGAGGGCCTCTTCACCAGGGGCAACATGGCAGCTGGATACGCCATCTTTGCCGCGGGCCTGACCTGCGGGCTGTCAAACCTCGTGTGCGGGTGGGTGCAGACGGGTGTCACGTGGGGGCCCCAGAGGCCCAACCAGGGGAAGGCGCGCAGCCTCACAGGCGCGGGCACGCGCATGGGGGCATTGATGCAGCTGCAAAATGCTGGGCGTGAAACTGTCGACCCGCTGCTGCTGGCGCGGAAGTTGGTTCTCGTTCCATACAGGTTACGCTGTGCACAAATGCTACCCTGGCACGTTTCCCGTTTCCCCGCTTTGTATCAAAACCCTCACGTCCGCCGCACACCCCACCCAACCCCCAGGATGTGCGTGGGTATTGTGGGCAGCAGCTGCGCGCTGTCGGACGCGCAGAACTCTACGCTGTTCGTCAAGATCCTGGTGGTCGAGATCTTCGGCAGCGCGCTGGGGCTGTTTGGCGTCATCGTCGGCATCATCATGGCCGGAAACGCCGGGTTTGCCAAGTGAGTCGCTGATCACATTTGGGTCGACAGAAGGGGCAAAATGCTGCAAACATGCACCATGAGCGACCGGCGTTTGACACGAGATGGGGTGACTGACCAGAGATTGGCATCCTGCTGCAATTGCCTCCAAAACCCTGTGGATCGCCCCACTCCCCGCAGGGTGGTGTGAGGCATCACGTTAGTCGAGTCCCGTGAATACCACAATAATCATGTTTGTAACAACACTGCCTCATTGCATTAAGAAGTTCAGCTGCATCAAACGTAGCGAGGGTGAGCCCAGCACCATCAGATGATCAGACCAGCTTACAGAGGCTTGCTCGGCAAGAGGTACTGAACATGTTCAAGCACAGTAAACTGCACCTGCTGCAAACTCACACCCAACCCCCTCTTGCGAACACCATCATTAGCTAAGCAGCCCCACTCGCTTTGAGCACACTGCTGCTTGCCACATCTGCCGTGTGCGGTGTCTACGGTGGTGACCACTCTGGGCGCCCCACGGTAATCGAACCCTCGTCAATGCATGCATGCTACGACGGAATTTCGTCTATATTAGCTAAGCAGCCAGCAGCACGTAAGTTTTGTCAAAGCACGCTCACCCTGGTGGTGATGGTAGAAGAGGCACCGTCACTGAGGCAATGTGCCTGACCATGCGCCTGCTGGAAGGCCGCTTGAATCCCAGTCCCCAATTAATTCGCCCCTTTTCTCCCCATGCACATGATTTATTGATGATTATGCATAACCTCTAGCCCACACACACGCCATTCCCGGTTGCCACATCAGCGCCCCGAAATCTAGCCCTAGCGTCACTATCAAGCGCAATCCTCAAAAGAAGCTTAATCATGCTGCCACTTTCTATAGATGGAAGTGTATTCCAGGGCCAGCAAAGAGGGGGTCGATTGGCTCCGCCCTCGATGCCAGCCCCTAGTCGTGGTGTGCATCAATACACTGGCATGTCGCAATCTCGCAATCCTCCCGTGCGCACCGGGATCCATCAGGGCCGCGGAGTTGCGGCGAGCGGCGTGGCCAGCGCGCTTGCCAATGCACCCACCGCTGCGTCAGGCGACTGCCTGTCGCGCCAGGTCATCGAGTTTGGCTATGACAAGAACATCGAGGAGAAGTACGAGTTGGGCCGCGAGCTTGGCAAGGTGTGAGCACGTACGGGCCGGAGCTGTGCCCAAAGGGGCTGTTAAAAATCATGAGCTGCCGAACAGGGCGGGACAGCGGTGCAGCGCCGCGCGGCCGGGGCGGGACAGCGGTGCAGTGCCGACCAACACGCCAATGCACGCGGGCGCCAATACACCACGCGCTGAAGCCTCGCGGCACGGCGCCTCTGCGCTCCCCATGCTGCCCCCCACCCCCCGCAGGGCGGCAACGGCGTCGTGCGGGTGGCGCGCGACCGCGAGACCGGCGCCGAGTACGCCTGCAAGTGCCTGCCCAAGGCGCTGCCTGCGGACGCCTCCGAGTCGAAGCGCCGCGGCCACGCCGGCGCGATAAAGCGCGAGGTGGAGGTCATGCGGCGGCTGGCGGGCAGCCTGGCAATAGTGCGGCTCGTGGACGCGTTTGAGGACGACGGCAGTGTTTACATAGTGCAGGAGCTCTGCCGCGGCGGGGAGCTGCACCACCGAATCGGAGAGCGCCACTACTCTGAGCGCACGGTGCGGCTGGCTGGTTCGGGGGGCGGGTGCTCTTGCACGGCGGGGCCGCGGCGGCAGGGTTGTTGTTCATGCTTGCATGCGTACCATGCATGTGCATGGACCCGTTGTCAATGATGTTTGCAGTGATGGGTGTCGGTGTGGCCGCGGTGAGGAAGCAGAGGCGCTTGTGGCTGACACGCGCGCGCCGCTCCCCGGCGCCCCCACGCAGGTCGCATCCTACATGCGCGCCGTGCTGCGCACGCTTGCGCAGTGCCACTCGCACCACATCCTGCACCGCGATATCAAGGTGCGCGGCCGCGACCGCACGGCAGAGCCCGCGCCCCCAATGGGCGGCGGGGGCCGCCGAGCCGGCCGGTGCCACCGAGCCAGCTGCGGACGGGCTGATTTGCCATGCAGGCGCACTGCATGCCGCATGCTGCGCGCGACGCCTGCCAGTGTTACTGCACCGCTCCTCTGCCGCAGCTGGCGCGTAAATCCCCTCCCTCCCCCCTGCCGCTGCCCCCACCCCCTGCCCTCCTCCTCCTCCTGCCCCCGCCAGCCGGGCAACTTCATGCTGCTGGATGACAGCGACCGCTCCCCCCTCAAGGCCATAGACTTCGGCCTCGCGGTGCCCTTTGACCCTGCCGCCCTGCCGCGCTCAGACCTGGGGCTGGAGGGCACCCCCTGGTGCGCGGCGCGCCATAGCGCCATGCTTTGCGCCGCGCCGGCTTAGACCGGCGCCCCCCGCGTGGGCTTTGTTTGCCACGTCGTCGACTGACCCGCCTCTGTTTGCTCCCCTTCACCCTCGCCTCGTTCCCGTTGTCAAACGGCGCTGGTTCCGCTTGCCTCGTCCTGCACCCCACCACTTCCAAACCCACACCTACACCTACGCCCGCATCCCACCTATGCCACAAAAGCCTGCCAAAAAGCCTCCCACCCCAGTCAATCTGAGCCCCAACAGACCCCTCGACCCCCCTTGCCCGCTCTCATAATTAACAGGTACATGGCCCCCGAAGTGCTGTCCTCCCAGGTGCTGCCGGCCTCTGACCTCTGGTCTGCCGGCGTCATGGCGCACCAGCTGCTGACCGGCCGCCTGCCGTTTGACGACCACCGCAACCCCTTCGCGCCCTCCATCAGCGCCGTCTGGCGTAGCGTGCTCTGCGACAAGGTGCGTCGCGCTCGACCCGCGTCGAGCTGCGGATGCATGCAGGCTGCGCGGCTGGCGCTGTACAGGCGGTCAGACCCAAAACCTCGTCATGTTGTTGTGCACGACAAGCGGCTTTTAAGGGCGCTGGCATGCATGCAGTGACCGAAGACCTGCCCCCATGCAGTCCTCTGGCACCCGTGGTGCCTTATCGCCAGCCCTGCGCCGGTTGCCGGGCCTCCTCCTGACTTTTTCTTATCTGCCCCCAAGGTGGCCTACAACATGCCCTGGTGGGCCGGCATCAGCGACGAGGCAAAGGACTTTGTGGCCACGCTGCTGAACAGGCGAGGGCTGTTGGCGGCAGGCCGGCCTTTGGCTGCTGGCGCGCCGCTCAGAGCTGCTGCTGGGCGCTGTCATGCGGTTGGTCCTGCGGGACAAACTCCGAAAACCTTGCCACGGCCAGCTTACATGTGCTCATCCCTCCGCACACAACACACCTGCGCATGCACACACGGGCACACGTGCACACAATTCTCCCCATACGCCCATCCAGCCCCGCGCAACCCGTCTTGACCATCGCAGGGACCCGGCCCAGCGCCCCACCGCCAAGGAGGCGCTGAAGCACCCCTGGCTGCGCGGCGACAGCTCCGACCGCAGCGCGGGCCGCCAGATCGAGCCCTCGGTGGTACAGCGCATCCAGCGCTTCGCCCAGAGCAGCCTGTTCCGCCGCGGCGTGCTGCAGCTGATAGCAGAGGAGCTGCTCGCGCGGCCCGGCGCCGTCGCAGCGCTCGCAGCATCGGGGTCCTCAAAGGACCTTGTAGCTGGAGGGGTTGATGAGGGCGACGCCCCTGCGGCAGCGCGTGAACATCAGCAGGAGCAGCAGGAGCAGCAGGAGCAGCAGGAGCAGCAGGGCGAGGGCGAGGGCGAGGGCGTCGCGGCGGGCGGGCGGCCGGCGGCGGCGCCGCTGGCCCGCTCGGGCAGCGGGGGCGCGAGCGTCGTCGGCGGCGCGCTGCGCGAGCTCTACGG